GGTGGAGGTTCGGTTGCCACCTAAAACGACTCGACCTGGCAACATACAACGCACGCACCCTGAGGACTGACGAGAAGATCGTGGAGCTGGAAGAAGAGTTAGACAAGTTACGCTGGCATATTATAGGATTATCCGAGGTCCGAGGAGTGGGGGAGGACACGGTAATCCTCGAATCCGGCAACTTGTTCTATCACCGGGTGGGCGACCATCTGTTTCCAAGGAGGTGTCGGATTTATCGTCCACAAGTCTCTCGTTAACAACGTTGTAAAGATTGCGAGTGTGTCGACGAGGGTTGCTTACCTTATACTCAGAATCACCAAACGGTATTCGCTGAAGGTCATACAGGTTTACGCACCAACCTCGGCATAATCCGATCAGGAGGTGGAAGAAATGTATAAGGATATCTCTAGAGCCATGCATTACTCCAAAACCCACTATACGGTGTTAATGGGAGACTTCAATGAAAACTAGGCACAAGAGAGAACGGTGAGCTGAAAGTAGGGAAATTTGGAATAGGGCAACGGAACCCACGGGGCCAGCAGCTAGCCGACTTCATGGAGAAAGAGGGACTCTTTATGATGAACTCTTTCTTCTAGAAGCGACTCCACAGAATGTAGACACACACACAAACACTCCACATTCTGTGGAGTTCATTCCAATTTTCATTCCACATTCTGTGGAGTCCATTCCATTTTTGTCGAACCGTCGGGGCTCGAGATTGACTTCATTATGACGACCAGACGACAATAGTTCAGTGATATTTCCGTGATCGCGAGGATGAAATCTGGTAGCGATCACCGAATGGTTAAAAGCACACTGAACCTAAACGTTAAGTTGGAGAGGTCTCGTCTAATGAAGTCAACGCTCCGTCCCCCTCGTGCTCTGTACCAAAGTCCCGAAACCTTTCAGCTCGAGTTACAAAACCGTTTTCAGTGCCTAGAAGACTGCAATGAAGTGAACGATATGAATGACAAGCTCGTGGAAACTGTCCATGCGGTTGGAGCTAAGTTCTGCAAGACCCGCTGCGGAAGAAAACAAAAACTCTCCGATCACACTCTTAATCTCATGGCTGTTCGACGGGAGATGAAGCTACATTCTTCAACAGATTTGACAGCATACAGGCAACCGAACAGACAGATCTCCAAATGCATGCGGCGGGGCTTACGCAACTTCAGTACCGCTTATATTGAAGAAGCGATCGAGCGGAACCAAAGTCTTTGCATCTGTCTGCCAGAAAGTGCCAACTGTCAAAGCTGAAGACCGAGTGTGGCAGCATCGTTTCCGGGGCACCTGAGATTTTGAGTGAGATTGAGAGGTTCAATGGACAGCTGTACACGTCATCGTTGGAGCCACTCGCAAGTGTGAGTAACGATCCAAGAGCGAGTCTCATCCGACACTATTCCGAAGATATCCCGGACGTCAGTCTGAGCGAGATTAGAATGGCTCTCCAGCACCTTAAAAACGGTAAGGCCCCAGGCGAGGATGGAATTACAGCGGAGCTTCTGAAAGCGGGTGGAAGACCGGTACTTGAAGTCCTTCAGAAGCTCTTTAATTCCGTCCTCCATGGTGGCATTACACCGGAGGCGTGGAGCAAAAGTGCGGTGGTCTTGTTCTTCAAGAAAGGTGACAATGCTCTCTTGAAGAACTACAGACTGATTTCCCTTCTGAGCCGCGTCTACGTGCTGTTTTCGAGAGTCATTACGAATTGTCTCGCTCGCATTCTTGACAACTTCCAGTCTCCCGAACAAGCCGGTTTCCGAAAGGGCTTTAGCACCATAGACCACCAACATACCCTTCGGCAAATTGTACAGAAGTCCGAGGAGTACAATTAGCCATTATGTCTGGCGTATGTGGACTATGAGGAAGCCTTTGATTCCGTCGAAATTTGAGCAGTGCTGCAGTCCCTTCAGCGGTGCCAAGTTGACTGTCGGTATATCGAAGTACTGAAGTGTTTGTACAGTAGAGCTACGATGGCTATCCGAGTACAGAATCAGAGTACGAAACCTATCCAACTGCAGAGAGGAGTAAGACAGGGCACTCACCTTCGATTTGCCGACAATATAGTCCTTATGGCAGAATCGCTGAAGGACCTAAGCACTATGCTCAATGACCTCAATAGTGTTTCCCAACGGATAGGTCTTAAGGTGAACATGGACAAAACAAAGATCATGTTTAATGGCCATGTCACACCTATGCCGGTAGTTGTTGGGAGCACTAAGCTCGAAGTTGTTGACGAGTTTGTTTACCTGGGATAAATAGTCCGACTAGATAAGTCCAACTTCGACCGAGAGGTCAATCGACGGATTCAACTCGGCTGGGCAGCGTTCGGGAAACAACGACACATCTTCTCGTTAGACATACCTCCAAATCTGAAAACGAAATTGTACAACCAGAGCGTGTTGCCAGTGATGATTTACGGATCTGAGACGTGGTCCTTCACTGCTGGCCATATGAGGAAGCTCAAGGTCGCTCAGCGAGCTATGGAGAGGGCTATGCTCGGGGTGTCTCTGCGTGATAAACTTAGAAATGATGATATCCGCAGTAGAACCAGAGTAACCGACATAGCCCAACGAATTAGTAAGCTGAAGTGGCAGGGGACCGGCCATATAGCTCGAAGAACCGACAACCGATGGGGAAGAAAGGTTCTCGAGTGGCAGCCTCGTTCCGGTAGGCGAAGTGTAGGGCGACGCCCCACTAGATGGAGTGACGACCTGGTGAGACATGCAGGAAGTCGATGGATGCAGGTGGCTCAGGACCGTGCTTTGTGGCATTCCTTGGGTGAGGCCTATGTTCAGCAGTGGACTTGTGAAGGGCTGTAATGATGATGATGATGATTTTATATCAAGTATGTTAGAAATAAATAAACCAAACCAATACAGGGTTTTAACGAGGTAGAGCCATGCAGCAGCTGTGTTAGTATATAGCATAGTTGTAACACAAATGGGTCGGCTCGACCAGGAAAAGACCACGCTCTTACAGAATACCAGCGTAAAATAGCAGCTTAACACTGCTGTGTTTCGTATGGTGAGTGTGAGAACCGGAGACTATTTTTACTGGAAAACAGGCATTTCATCTTAGTCCTCACGGGTGACAACCACTTACCATCAGGTGGAATATGTGCTCGTTTGTCACCCTATCCTATTTAAAAAAAACCACCACTATACCACTCCGTTACAGCGTATAAGAATAGAAAACTTGCAAGATGAACGTGTGAAAGAGAAGTATAAATGTAGATTGAGAGAAAATATTTGTGATTTGGATGAATTGTATATCAATGATTTAGACTTGGAGACTGTGTGGGATAATGTTAAGAAAGGTTTGGTAGATGCAGCTACCGAAATTTGTGGTATCAGTAAGAAGACAAATGAAAGGAAAAATTAAACGTTATGGTGGACTTATGTGATAATAACACCCTAAGCTCAATAAAAGTTTGTTATTTCGATATTACAGACAGACACTTTGATTTTATTTATATGTATAGACGCAAAATAATTACTTGATAGGAACTTGTCGATATTGGAAATTGGAAATTTACCAAAATATTTCGGTTTATTGCCTTAACGGTTTTGTGTTAATATAGCTACATTAATGAGTAAGCCTATTGGGAACCGGTTTAATTTGATTAATTGTAAAAGGATTTTCCCAAGAGCCGCTGCCCTTTACGTGTTTACTAATGACAGCCATTTTAAATTTGGAACTGTTTTAAGATAACATTATTCTGAAATTCTACGTGATGACGTCAATACATGTTGGTTGACGTCACCACCTGTTACCAGGTGAAAAACGAGTGAATGGATAGAACGGGGTTATATGGGTTATATCGGACTTTTCCCGACTAAAACCCCCGAGTGTTTCACCTCTGGCATCAACAGGGCCACGGAAATGCTTTTTATTACATTCACAGTCCTACTAGCGTCGACTGCCCCTTGACGGTCCCAGCCTCCATAAGGGTGAAAACGAGTACACAGTTACGTCTATGAATTAAAATTCTATGGAGTCTACTGAATCGAACCGGTCGTTAATTTGCGGAAATCCCTTTCAAGAATAGCGACTTTTATATATATATATATATATATATTTTTTAAATAAAATAATTCTAATAATTTTTATTTTCCCGTGTTATTTGACGTAACAATGAAGGACAGCAGCTTTAAAGTATTTTCGCAAAAATTACAAAATAACATCAAATAGAAAATAAACTACACATTTTTAGAACGTATATTTTAACTGACACCTAATATGAAGAAACAGAAACAGAAACTTTTTTTATTCAATATAGATTATAAATAATACTTATTGAAAGTCACTCTTTTGTATAATTACCACTGGTTCGAAAAAAAAACCTCTGTCCTGGGAAGAACCAGCAAGAAACCCAGCGGGACTTTTTTTAAATAACAGCTTACAATCATGTATGTTACATAAATTAACAACACAACAAATTAGAAATAGCTTGGTAGCGATCACCTAATTTCCAGGGGTTATTATCATCTATAAATTCTTTAATATTATTATAACCCTTTTTACACAAACTTAGTTTAATAAAGTTTTTGAACTTTGAGCAGGTCAAATTTTGTATATTCTGGAATTTTGTTGTAAAAGCAAGATCACAATATATCCGCGAAACAATTTTTGAGGAAAACGTCTTTAACAGAGATAGACAGATAAAAACGCTTTTGTAGCACCAGCACTCATTTTTACTAATTATCACACGGAAAACAAAGGTAAAATGTCTCTTAACAATAATAAAGTATGCTTGTAGAAGACACTGGAGTACGTAGAATAAACGTCACAGCGTCTATCGCAGTCTTCATAATGTATAATATTATATTAATCGTTTTAATCATCATTGCCAACCAGTTTGCGTTTGCGCATAACCTTACTTCAAGACGCGCTTCGAAGTCTATATCTATCTGCGTCTTTCTTACTTTATCTCACGTCGCACTCACTTGGCGATCGTAAACTTGAACTTTATATATCATTATTTCTTATTTCTGTATTTCGCCATTATTCTTATAGAATCGAGCGCGGGATCGCGCGTCGCGTTCTACCGGGCGATATAATTGTTTACGTCAATTTTTTTTTTCTTAATTAATGACAAAAACATCGTGCAGTTAAAAATGGTAAGAGAAAATTAAAAAAAAATAAAACAAAGCAAAAAGTTTTTATTCTGTGTTAAAGTGCCAGTGTCAACATAATTATGTTTTTTTTTTAATAATTAGAAGTTTCTAGTTTTTGTGTGTGTTTGTTACTGTGGTCCAATTATGATTTATGCTGGTTTTTAATACAAAATGGAGGACGACCGGTTTGTCCAGGTGGCTGGTAGGCGAATATTCTTACTATGACATTTACCAATGAATGCCAACAAGGTAAAAATTTTTGGACGTTTCAACGCAATTAAATAATTTGCAAATTGTTATTCTAAAATATATAAGTTTTCCTCGACGCGCCATCGTCGGTTCCGGCTACTTGGCCAAGGTTGATGTATGATATTGAATCATTGTAACTTTGTGCTAGGAATTTTACAAATCGGTTTATTTATAAAACGATTACAAGACGTTGGAATTGGATACTTTCGCATAGATTTTGCATTAACTTTACACAGTTTTAATCATACGAAAGGGCTCGCTTGATTATTATTTCGAGTTACATAAATGGCCGGCCCATTGCAGCTTCAGCTTACTGATACGATAGCCCATGTCATCTTCTCTAGTTCTACTCCAGATTTATTTATAAATTACATATTCTATCTCGTATAGACTTCGACCATACAGCAATAGCTCGCTGGTAAAATCCAGCGGTGAAAGGCCACGTTTCGATTCCGTTGGTCATCACTGGCCAAACGCACTGTTTGTTCACGTTTTTTTTTTTTAATAATTAGAGTGACAGGTGAGCCAACAATCCACTTGATGGAAAATCGATAGGTACTGTAATCCATATACACCCATAACCATTTTTGAGCAAATAAGCCATTATAATATGCGCCTTACCCCTCAGGGGTGATATAATTACTTCATTACCCTAAGGCCTAAAACGAAATGCCAAACAGCTGGTAACTATTTTGGTTCTCTTACCCTTTATATTGAATCATGTTAGTGAGTGCGCTTGTTGGTGATAGTAAAACAGACGCTAGGCAAGTAGACCAAGCAGCTATAAGTCTTTCCTAGAATGGGTAGGTTCATATACCGTAACAAAAACACAACAATACATAGGGTTGCCTACATTTTCAAATAAAATAAGCAATAAGCAAATTTAAAATGACAGCCATTTTTACCACGTTTCTGGTACTGAGCTATTTATAATGTTTCAAATCTCTAAGACATCGGGAAGTTAGTTTAAAATCGAATGCTAAAGGGGAATGCCCACCGTTCATAGACACTTTGGCCATGAGTGCCCACATATAAAAGCATATGGAAATGATAATATGCAATTAAGAAAATGAAATGGTTAAGGAATTGGTTTAAAAAAAGTCCGAATTTTTAAGATATAAAGGTTTTTCATTTTCACAAGAACACTTTTTAACAACAAATAACTTCGTATTTTCGTGACATTTAAACCACAATTGATACACCGTAATTGTCCTCTTGAATGAGTTACTGAGAGCTGGGAAGAACTCTGGCCGGCGTGAAAGCTGGGGTCATCGTTAACAGTGGATATCGAGTCCAAGTTCGTGCAGAAGTGGCAGCGGGATTCATTTTCAGGCCGTGGTCAATAGGGTGAGAAGAATTATCGGAGTCCATTTAGAAAGATTATTCGTTGTTTAGATTACAAATCTGCGAGAAAACAAACAAAATAACACTAATGCAAAGGAATTCGACTTGTGACTATTTAGTTTTGATAATTATGACATGGGCCTAGCTGTCAGATTCGATGTTGCCAATTAACAGACATAAAATCGATAAATAAATAGGGATTTTTTTATTCGATTTATAATTTCATAAGAAAGAATAGTCTTTGATTCGCTTTAAGATCTGCGCTTCTTTTAAAATATGTTTTGTTTTATTTATTTTAATTCCATTTTAAATGTATTTTTAAGAACAGATAAGATTAACAGTTAAAATGTGCAGTAGCGTTTTTGATATGGTATAAAGAGTTCATGGTAAATCAACTAGCACTTCGCTTGTTTAATTATCATAACATCATAATAATTATCGAAATATAATATCACCATTATAATAATGACACCATAAAGAATCGATTGAAAAAACAAAATCGACATTTTTAACGAGATTTGTAATTGGCAACACTTTTTATTTTATCCACAAACTAATGAATTCCGGATTTACCTAATTTCATTTTTATCTTTTCGGTACTTTTTTTTGTGGAAAAATATTGCAATCTTTTTTGGATACATAAATACCGCGATTAATTACCATAAAAAAGATGTATTTTTTTAACAAATGCAAATTGTTGGGCGTTTCATGGCCAGAATTGGGCATTCCCCTTTGCACTGAACAGACAAACAATAAAGTGAGTTCATAATACATTGTCATCTTGTTCTGAACCACGTTTAAAGTTTAAAATCTCTAGCTCATTGATAAATTCGAATCGACTTTAATACAAATTATTAAGAATGACTCAAAAACAACTGGTCATAGCTTGATCAAATTTATATGGGACCACATGTGAAGCACCAGCTTTCAAATAAAAAAAGAATCATCCGTTCATATAGAAAAAAAGAGTTATGAGGTAACACACATAAAAATAAAATAAAAAATACAGTCAAATTGAGTATCCTTTTTCAAGTCAGTTAAAAAAACGAACCAGTGGTAAAAGCATACATGACTTTCAATAAGTTTTACTTGTACCGCTACTGAACATAGTCCTTCCTCATAGATTGTTAATGATTGTTAATATTTAATGAATTTTTTCTTTGTTTATGCTATTATAAAGAAGAATAAATGTTAATTTATTTCCTGTAGAAGACATTGTAGAACAGTATTAAAAATAGAAAAAACATTTAAGCAAAAAAGAACAAATTATGATATTACAAAACAAAGTTGTACTGATTGTCATGGTACTCGTGTTTTTTCTACAATTTACATCAGTATAACTACTGTAAAATTCCTAACGTTGTTTACACAAACTTTACGGCCTACTGCATTCCTACGTGCGTATTCTGCAGATTCGAACGTCCTTCGCGGTCAGTGCCCCCAGTGGCGAAGCAAGGGCCGGGCAGGGAAGCTCCACGAGCAGGGCCCCGGGTGGCAGATATTTGGGGCAGGCATTTTATGAACGAGAAGTCTGCTCTCTGCGTTTACTATTTATATGATGCCAGTAAAATGTGAAAAATTGCTCTCACTGAACTATTTTGATTAAATTAAATAGAACTGTTGCATAACCTTACACACGCTATAATAAATTACCAGCTCATGAAGTAACTCGAAGACCAACAGCTGATTAATGAAAGTACCGTATCCTTCAAGAGCCCTCAGTTGCTTATTTTCTAGTATTCCTGACTCATAAAATGGGCGTCGGCAGTTGTCTAAGGTTGAGGTCTTGACGATAAGCTTGAATATAGCGAAGACGAAGGGGGTGGCACAGGTGTTTCTTTCGAAGCTTCCTTCTTATTTGCTTCTCGATAAATTATGCAATTTGATCGACAGTTTTCTTACAAATCGAAGCATCAAGATCGTAGTAAATGCTGGTGTTCCACAAGGCTGCGTGCTATAGCCTACGCTGTTTCTTCTACATATCAATGATATGTTGCAAACCAGTAATATTTATTACTATGCGGATAACAGCACTGGTGATGCTTTTTACATCGGACGTGCCAATATTTCGTGGGAATACGACGTCGTGTACCAGAACAAAGTTGTGTCTGAAGTCGAATCCCTGTTAAATAAAGTCTCGGATTTAGGACGACTAAATCTAATTAAACTGTAAACGCGCTAGGCGTTTACCGTTTAAAACAACCCATTTATAGTATCTCTCAGTCGAAATCTAGACTATAGTAGAGACTAGTTTCGAGATTACTTGAAAAGGCAGGCTACATTGAATTTAAAAAAGCTTGGTTTTCAGTTAAGCGGGACAGTATTTCATGTCGGTACATCTCTTAAAAGTATAATGCGCCGTTTTCATCTCTGGGCCGAGGTACCCCAGTGCAAGCTGCTTCCACTGACCGCATCCATCGAAACAACCGATTTCTTTCTAATCGGCTTGATTTACTGACGTACAAAATTCCAAACACTGCTTCTGAGCCGCAGAAAACTAGTGAAAGAGAAATAATGCAAATATGTCCCATCTTTTTCTAGGTGTCCCGATAGTTTTAGCTAGTCGCCCTTTTCGAGTGATCTTTGTGCTGTTAGCTTGCAGGCTTTTGCAGATTCAAAGACCGCAAGTTATATATTAAGAATGCCTGGTGATGACGATAAATAATTGTGATGATCAGAATAGATAATATTTTTATAAATAAAAATCTAGAATATTCAGCTAAAAAAAATTAAAGCAAATCCCCCTCTTCTATATTCAATATTAAATCCTGAAACTAATTCTCTTTCCCCTTCTGCAAAATCAAAAGGAGTTCGATTAGTTTCAGCTAATCTTGAAGAAATTCAACATATTCTTAAAGGTATTATTAAAAAAAAAACCAAATTAAATGTTGATAAATAACAAAAATATTATATTAAAATCTATAATTAAAATAATTCTTGATAACATAATTAAAGCCAATCTTACTTCATAAGAAATTGTTCATAGAAAATGTCTATGAACAGCAGGTCGTCGGATACGGGTTTTTAACTCATTCATAACTCATTAGTGACTTATCTAGCCCGCACCTCAATTGGTCAATGTTGTGTTCGAAATTCGAACTCCAGCTCATGAACGTTGAGAACCGTGTAAATATGCGAGTAGAACATGGTGTGGCGAAAAGAGCACATCCTGAGTGGCATTCCTATTTGGACCATTACACATAAAACAAGTTCTTAACGTTGTCTTAACTTTATTCGTTTTTTATATTTTGTATCAGAATTTTACTACTTTTTTCCTTATTAGTGCAGCTTAGGTTAGTTCCAATTTATACTTTTTTTTTATAGGATAGGGTGACAAACGAACACACAGTCCACCTGATGGTAAGTGGTTGCTGTGGCACATAGATCTACATTTATCCTCGTTTGCGAAT